GACTGATTTATAAACTGATGTAAGTAGAACGGCTACTCGCCTGTTGCTTTGAACATCATTGGCAACAAAGTACTGTATCACTCGTTGTTGGTATAATTTTCAGTCATAAATTTCCAATCGACCCACGCTTCCGAAAAGGACTACTGGTTGTTGGGCCATGGTTTTACGCAGAAAAAAAAATGTTGATTAACCTCCAAACTGTACTTTTTTTTTGCTCAGGAATAATCGTGCCCACGAGACTTGAATACGTTGGCCGTTTTGTAAAGAATTACAAAAAAGAAAGATTGTAAAGCACAATAGCCATTTATGCCTCGTCGCCAATTTGTAGGATCGTGGGGCTTGAATAATTACAAAAGTACTCTCAGAAAAGAAAAACGTGTATTCACTAAGCTGTTCAACGTCCGACTAACTGTCGTCGGCGTAGCGCCGACGAGCGCCTACTAACAGGAAGGGAAACTTATGTGTGAAACCAAAAAAGAATCTTAATGATATTACATCAACAAATGGTTTTTGTGTCAGTAACAAAACTTTGGTTATTGGTACAAAACATTTCTCTCAGTGTATATATTCATGCCATTACCAATTTCGCGAGGCTATAAACGGCATGAATATATACGTAATGATGTTCACATATCAAGCGGCCTGTTTTATATTTTTATACACTTTTAATTTAAAAGTAACTTATTAAAGTATTAAAGTAACTATTCAGTGAAATGTCGACACATAATACAGTGCTAATGAAACTATAGATAAATAAGTCGATAAATGACAGCAATAAACGAGTGCCATCTACCGTCGAAAATATGAAAAGGAGATGACTTTTTGAGGTGACGTACCTTACATAAAATTTTGACATTTCGGATTTCGCGTCACGATATCTCCGTTCGTGGGACACGTAGGCCGGTATTCATAGTCAGATCTTATATTCAAGACCATCTTAAGTACGGTCTTAAGAAGTCATGAACCAATCAGAGGGCTGCATTAGCGTCTTAAGGCATTACTTAAGACGATCTTGAAATAAGAATCAACTATGAATACCGGCCGTAGAGGTAAAATAAACGTTTATTATATAATTCGGATCCAAACTGTCGATGGAGCTCATATTCAGAACTCGATCGGTCCTTTATTAAAAAAACCGAGAATTTTTCGGATGCTCGGATGCCCGCAACTCGCTGACTCGCGTAAAGACACTCGTGTCTCGCACTGCGCGCCCACTTGGCGCGAGACACTACTGTGTCTCTTGATAATAGTAATAATCATAATTATAGTTATACGTAATTATATTATGGTTACAAATACCAAACATTTTTCTCTCAGTGTAGTTGTTAACAATTAAAAAGCATTAACATCTAATTCATATAAAATACAACCGTTTTACAATTTCAACCCTTATCGGATCATCTTCAGTATCATACAATATTAATCCGCAATTTAACAATTCTATAAAATCTTCAATCTTCAAGAAGTCCGATGTTTCTGGTGACAATTTTTCCAATTTTAATGTGAATTGTGAACTTTATTGCAATTGGAAAACTTCGGATTTCTAGTTCTCATTCATGACCTAAGTTTGGAATAACCAACGTCTATCGACCTATGTAAGTCGATACAACAATTCAACAACTTATACAGTTGCAATGAGATACTTTTTGATTTGTTAAGATATACCATCTATAATTATTGGAATAATTATTATGGTGTAGATACTCTGAAGATTGAAAATTTTGTAGAATTGTTAAATTGCGGATTAATATTGTACGACACTGAAGATGACTCGATAAGGGTTGAAACGTTTGTATTTTATATGTGTATTAGAAATGTCAATAATTTTTAATTGTTAACAACTACCATCCTGTTACGACTCGTAACCTTTTATTAGAATTTTTTATTATTGGAGTCTTAGTTTATATTATTATAAATACTTTGGTTAGAAGTTAGAATTATCTCAATTTGCGCATATTTCCAGCATGTTAATAAATAACATATCAAATTTATTGCTGCATATATTACTGCACAACATAAACATATACGCAATGACGTTCACACAACAAGCGATCAAGAAGTCCGTTTTATATTTTTATGCACTTGCCGTAGCGACGCTACCGATCGGTGAATAGAGACAACTGTACCGTTTACTTGCTCTTTCAACCTTAGATTGCGCAGTTATAATAATTTCCGGTTTGTTAAAAGCATTGATAATCGCACAGATTTCATAATTTTGCGGCTATAAAACAAAAATAATTTAAATTATGCTTAGTAGTCAATTTTACATATAAGCATTGTTTCCAACTTTACAAACATTTATCGACATATAAAAGGTGACAATCAAATACAACTATCTATACGTTTTATATTGCGTCGCTAAGTGTTTCTATCAACTTTATTTTAAAAGTAATGGACAAAATGACTGTTGATCCAACCAAATCGATTCCTGCATTTTACGCTAGACAATGTATACTTTTGACTGGTGCAACAGGATTTCTGGGTAAAGTTTTTATCGAAAAGATATTACGATCTTGTCCAGATGTTCGTGAAATATTTCTGTTAATGCGGCCGAAGAAAGGATTAAGTATTAAAGAAAGGCTCGATAAAATATTAAACCTATCAGTAAGTTGGATATATAAAGAGGAATTTTTGTAAAACGCACTTCTTTAAGATAATTAAGTTATTTTTACGATTTTAAATAAGTATTTGAAAGAAAGAATTACCTTTAAATGCTATTGCAACGTTATTACCGAAAATAATTATTCTTAAGAAGAATGCTTGTAAATTTTTCAAATAGTAAATAATAAAATATTGGAATGCATTTTTTAGTTAAGAATTAAACATTTTATTTTTTATAACTTATTAAAAATATGTCAGAGTTATTGTTAGGTACAACAGAAACGATTTATAATTTATAACGGCCTTCTATTTTAGCTATTTGAAAAATTGCGCGAGGAGCGACCTTCCAATTTTGAGAAATTAATTGCAATTTCTGGTAATGTCAGTGAGAAGGGATTAGGTTTGTCGGCTACGGACAAGCAAATGCTGGTTGAAAGAGTGACCATAATAATTCATGCAGCCGCGAGTGTGAAATTCAATAACAGTTTAAAGTATGCCATATTTGCTAATACAAGAGCAACAAGAGACATTTGTATTTTAGCAAAAAGTATGAAGAATTTAATCGTAAGTTAGAGAGTAATTAAGATTATACATTTAAATAACTCATACCATGTCACACAATTTATGTAACAACTTTTATTTTTATTTAAATGTTCTTCAAAAACACAAATCATTGTGTACTTTTCAAATTTAACAAGAAAAGTGTGTTCCATTTCAAAGCAAAAATATATAAATTTATAAATTCATAGATTGTTTTATTATTACGTTTGAGTAATTATGTAAAGTTTGAAGATAGTTCTTTTATATTGGTTTAAACGTTACTTAATTTTTTTGTTTATTCTAATTGTAACTACCAGGTGTACAAGTATGAAGTGCGGATTTGAGACAACAGATGGTGCACCAATGCAGTGTGTAGTATAAAGATTTGACGTATATGCCATTTTGTTGTGCCATCAACAATTGTAAAACGCGCATAAGTGATAAATTGAAAAAGTATTTGCATAGTATTGTTTTGCTGTGTTCAATATGTCGAAATTTGTGCCAAATAAAGAGCATTCGCGGACAGTATTAATTTTTTGTTTTCATTTAAAGAAAACTGCTGCTGAATCATACCGATTACTTCGAGAAGCTTATGGTGAACATGCTCCATTGCAAGATACGTGTGAACGATGGCGTTTCAAAAGTGGTGATTTCGATGTTGTAGACAAGGAACACGAAAAACCGCCAAAAAGGTACGATGTAGAATTGCAAGCATTGTTGGACGAAGACGATTCACAAACACAAAAACAACTCGCAGAGCAATTGAGCGTTAGTCAACAAGCTGTTCCCAATCGCCTACGAGAGATGGGAAAGATTCAGAAGGTCGGCAGATGGATACCACATGAGTTGAACGAGAGGCAGATGGAGAGG